TTAATCAAACCTTTTCTTATCTAAAGAGAAGGATTTGCATGGCAGGTTAACAGTGGGTCATTTACACTATTTAGATAAATTATTTTAAAGAATTTTAGGGTACATTTACTTTCTTAAATGAATTCATTTATAGGTATTCAAATTTGTCAGTTATGCCTTTCTGCAACTCCACCTCCCACAAATTTTGCTGTTTCTAAATCTCTAACCGGACTCTGAATAAACATTTCATAACTTCAGGACTTCATAAATAAGAATATTTTGCACCACTCTCAGGGCTAAGATGAACTGTGGCCTGTGCACGCAACCTGATTAGAATTTTCTATTTTGTCCCTTTAGACTGTTTTCTGAGCTGATTTGGTTGAACTAACTGACTTTTCATGCAGCACCACTCTCAAATCTGTTTAACTGAAAAGTTTCTGGCTGTGATACTCAGGAATAGAGGTGTGGCTCACCTTGCATTGGATGTTCACTTTTCCTTCTCCCACTGAAGCTCTTCTGGCTGCAAGTCTTTAAAAAATGGGCCACTAGAGAAATGCAAGGTGGTTTGGAAAATGATCTATGGTTGGGTGCTTTGTTGTGGGTTTGCATCATTTTGCGATATTTTAAATGCCGTTAGGTAAGCCTACAACTTAAACAGGGTATTCAAGTTTAGAGATGGTAACTGCTAACTTTTGGGTTTCTTTCATGACCAGCAGTAGAAAGACAGTTTCTCTCAATACTACCAATTCCTGAGGCCCCAGGGAAGATGCTTTGCCTAGCCAGCCTTTGGTCCAGAAACTCACAGAACTATGGACGGTAAACAGCCAACTCCCCTCTGTGTCCAGACAGACAGACTTTAGAAGGCTATTTGTTCCCACTGCATGTGCCCCACCTGAGCAGGTGACCTTTGTTTTTCTTCTGTGTTTACTACTCTAGTGACCCTGGTAATTGATTGACTGAATTTAGCACTTTCTGATTTTATGATCTTCCAAAATCTTTAGCTTTTCTGTTTTCCCATCGTTCAAGTGTTCTATTTGTCTTTCCCAATAGTGAAGCCATCCTCAGAATTATGATTATAAAACAGTAATATTCATTCTGGTAGGATCAAATGTAGAATTCTATTGTAGGGAGAATTCCTTTCTTTCTACATCTGTCTGTTAGTACATAGGGACCTAATCACATGAACCCAGCGAGCTTTCATGAGAATCTCAGAATCTGCTCCTGTGGCATCCAGAAGATATCAACAGCCATCTGTGTTGCCTCCTTTTGGCAGTTCAGCTGGGTGTGTTTTTTTCCTTTCCCCTTCACATTTGAGTTTAAGCTCCTTTTATCTCACTTACAGGTTTCTTGCCAAATATTTTCCTGTAGTGCATTTTGAGGCAGAAACCCATCCTTTGTGTAAAGCCGGCACCTGGTGAATTGTTAGCTTCTTATCATCTTTTTCCCCTTGGCATCGTTTTCTTTCCTGAAGGGCAGCATCATTAAAGTAACACAGTGTCTCTAATATCATAAGTCCCATCAGATCTCCTTGCTCTGAGGAAAAATACCCAAAATACATAAGAGATCTCTCACCTCTTCATGGGACTTCTCAGCAAACTGGCAACTGTCTTCTGGGGGTTTTACTGAGCAGTTAGCAATCTTTAGGCAGAGTGACCAGTGGAGGCTAATGCGTTTATTGGGCGGGATATTGGGAGCTCTGTGCCCTTGCAGTGTGAACACAGTCCACTCGCTTCTCCCTTGCACGGTTCCTGGAACGGAAGGGAGCTCCACCAGCTGCCTGCATCCTCTCCATCCCCATCAACTGACTCCAGTGGGGGGAAGGCAGAGAAGACATCCGTCACTCTAAGCTCTGACTTCCCATTTGTTTTGTTCAACCCCTTAATTACACTTTAGAGTCGCAGATTTTCAGTTAAATCTCATGAACTCCAATATTTAGACATGCACATAAGAAGGAAAATGGTCACTGGGGGGTAGGGGAGGCCAGGGGATTGTCAAGGGCGGGGGGGAAAAAAAGGACACATATGTAATACCCTTTGTAATACTTTAAGCAATAAAAAAAAAAAAAAGAGGGGAAATGGTAACAAATATCTGCCAAAATGAGATCAAGGTAAGTCCTTTTCTCAGAAAGATGGCTGTGATTACCAAATAGCACCAGCTATAATTTTGCCTTTTTAGAAATAGTGAGTGCATATTGTATAGAAAGGAGAAGTAGAAGGTTTTTCTTATTCTTTTCTAAAAGCAGTGTGGCCGGGCAATGGCCTCTGGAGGCCTCCAGGTCCCGGAAGAATGTCCCTATTTGCCTTTGAGGCCACAGCACCCGCAGCTTCCAGCAATGATCATGTGCTTGCCATCGTTCTGACCTCACTGGGCATATTGAATTAGTGAGGACTTTGAGTCCGGTCCATGTGCAAGGCGTGGTTTTAGGAGGCAGGAAAATAACACTCAACATGTACTGAGCTCGTGTTCATGTGCTGAGAAGGCAGGCTGAGTCTTGGGGAGGAAGGACAGGTGTGTGTTTTGCATGTGGAGATGTAACCTCTGTGGGTGAGCTCTAATTTCCAAACTAGGAATCACGGCAATACTTACTCCATCCAGTTGCTGGGAGGATTGTAAGAGTTCTTTCAAGTAAAGCTATAGCCAATGCGTAGCTCAACAATGCAGAACTAGCTCTCAAGTTAAGAAAACAAGAAAAGGCAGTTTCTACCACATACCCGTCACAAAGTAGGCACTGAGAGTACAAACAAAGTCATTGGTGATCCCGGGACAGTCTCAGGGGAGTAATGGGTGGAACCTCCATGCAGCTGGTTGTAGAATGAATGGAAATGGAAGAGTAGATAACTCCAACGTTTGGGCTCTAAGTGGGGAAGAGAGACGGATTGATAGCTGAAAGGAGCTCAGAGTGGGGCAGGGCATGGATGAGTTCAAGATGGCAGAGCCTTGGACAGATCTGAGTATTCACTGAAATAACGAGATGGGAAGAAACAGGAGAGAATGGTGGCGAAACTGTGAGAGGTCAGGGCCAACAGGATCCAGAGTGTCCAGACAGAGATGTTTGCTTTGTATGGTGACCAGAGGAAGGGAGGTAGTGGGTGGATGGAATTAATAGACATTGGAGTGAATGTTGGCAAGATGCTGAGGCAGTATTATTACTTTAGTTAAAAGAATATAGAACCTGAGAGATGAGAGACCCGGGAAATATAGTAATGGAATGGAGGTAAGGAAAGTCGTAGGAATATATTTCAGAAATTAAAATTGAAGTTTAAGCTGTACCATAGGGACAATATCTTTGGTAAACCCAAGGTGTGGAAGTGGAGTGTCAGGCCAGATCTCTGAGACCAGTGGCCTAAAGGACAGAGAGACTTAACAGGTCACTGAGCACAAACTTACACCTTTCACAATCAGAGATTGGACTTCCGCCCTACTGTTCTTACTAGCCATATATCAGGCATGTTGCCAATTTCCTTTTCAAATCTGGAATCAAATAAAGCAGAGCAGTGACCCAAACTTTCCACTAATTACTGCACCAAGCTCTTATGACTATGTATTATTTATACTGGCTGTTTAGGCTTAAGAGAATTTAAGGAGAATTTAAACATATATGTGTATAACCATAGGCATGATAAATGTTATGATTAATGGTCTATTGTAGTAGGCAAACTTTTAGAATTATTGTTACTATTCCAGAAGATATTCCCTGGTTCCTGTAAGATATTTGAGAGACATTTTCCCTGATAAGAGAAATAAGGGTAAATTACTGTTTATTGATTATATAGCAAACCTTGCCTCCCTTCACATAAGCAATGTCTCTTCTCCTAACTGCCTAATGGGAAACTTTACTGGGATGTTTCCTCCAGTAGTAAAACCACTGAGCCACAGAGAAAGTGCTGTTTACATCCAGGGAGAGAAACACCTTGAAACCAGCTGAGAAGAGGCAGGAATTCTCCATTGATGCTATGCTAACATGAAAAGCTTAACTATTTGTAATACTTTAAACAATAAAATAAAATTTTTTTAAAAAAGAAAAGCTTAACAAAACACTTAGTTTATCAGAAACACAAGAACGTTCCTTAAAGTTCCATCCTGGACAGTACTTTACAGATCAAAGGAAGGTAATGGAAGTTGCTAATGATCTCAATGGTAAGGAAACAGATGAGAGGGACCAAATGGGAAGCAAGGATCTAGCCACTGGGGACAGTGCTTCCTTCCCCCTGGTGCTTGTGGACACACCTGTGTCAGATGGCCTAGAGGCAGTAGGTTCTAGAGAAGGGATTGGTGTGGTTCAATCAGGATCAACTAGTTAAGGAAATGCTGAGTTCTATGAAAGGGTTCTCTTTTGAAGTCAGTGAAAGACCCTTGATTTGAGAGCTCAGGGAGAATCAACACAAAGGAGGCGTGGGTTTGGTTGTGCTTTGGCTTTCTGGGTGGGTTATCGGTCACCTAGATACAGCCTGGGTGGGTGTTTGTAGAGAAGACACCACTTTCAGGTCTGCATTTTTTTCATGAGCACCAAAATCATTCTCAGTCTGTATGCTGGTTGCTTTATTTAGATATTCATTTATTCACTCAATAAATATTTATAGTGAGTCCACTGTGTACTTGGCACTATGCTAAGTATACAGGTATAACGGAAAGCAAAACAAACCTGGTCTCTCGTGGGCTTATGTGATCCAGAGTAGGAAGCAAACTGTAGAAAAATAATAATTTTAATATTCTTATTTTTGTATAATGTAAACAATTAGGGAGGCACTTTTAGGGACTTTTTTTCATTGGAGTTTCTTGGATTGGCAGACTATTCTACTAGTTGAGACAAGCTCTAAGTATAATCATAAAATAACCTTCCTCCCTTCATTTTCATAATGTTCTTTGTCCATAACACCAAGGCCCTAAATGCGCGCGCACACTGAGCCCTGAATTCCAGCTGCGAGCCCTGCCAAGCTGTACTATAATGTCAGACTCGAGCTAGAGAACATAGCAAATCTATGAAAAACAAATTGGGATTGCACCTTCCAACATTCTTGCCTGCTTATTCCAGGGTCCCCTACCTTTTTTAACACGTTGAGCGCCAAGCCTGTTTTGTCTTCCTTTCCGTTTAGCCCGCGATATCCGATTTCACCAATATGCTAGCGGCCGGAGACTGACGAGGTACAAACGGAAAGTATAGTGTCAGGCACTGGTGACTGACATGCGCTTAACGTGTTAAGTCATAACTATTTTTAATAAACATAAAAAGGATACCCTGAATGTCTGAATTCTCACAGAAAAAGAGATTAACATAATTAAAATTTTAAGAATAATTTTTTCAAACTACACACTTCCCACTCTACCCCCATAATTAGTCTTGTACAAAATAAAGCTCATGAATGCCTTTGTAGATTGCAGTACTTTGGCACTTTTCATAATTTTTACAGAATGTTTTTAAACATTCAAGTGTATTCAAAGGGACAGATTTATGAAATCCTAGCATGGCAATTAAATGGACCCAGGAGAAATTTACTGTAGACTTTAAAAAAGAGGTCTTTCAGGCGTATTTTTTCTTTCCTGTTGTGATTACACTGTCTCTTACATCGTAAATGGCATAATTAGCTATATGGGAGGAACCTAGACTATTCTGCTACCTTTGCATTTCCTTTTTATGGCCTTGCAACTGAAATCCCCTGTAAGTCAGGTTTGGGCTTAATCAAAACAGAAAGTAGATCATTTTATCTTAGCATTTTAGAAACCAGTAACATATCACATACCAGAGTGTGTTTTTTGCAATTTTTCACAAGCATTGCATCTGAAGGTTGAACTCCATGCAGTCAGCTGCTCTGTTAAAAACGTAATGTTTGCCTGCAGAGTGTACTGGTCCCCTATGATCTGACTTTGATGTCTGACGAGAGGGTCACGAGCTTACATCTCTGAGCCTGTTAGGTATCAAATAATGTTCAATATGATTAATGTATTATCCATTTTTTTCCAAGAAAAGTAAAGATAGTTTCTCACTTTGATTTTACAGTTTTTTTCCATGCCATAAAATCATTTACATAAGCTACACTAATCCTTAAACACATCACCATTCTTCATTGCACATTCTGAGAGCCATGTAGTTACCTCACCGGATGTCTCATTCTTTCCACTGCTCACTCTGGTCCATGCCCTTATCATTTCTTACGGAGTCATCTTCCTGCTTCTGCCATATCTCCCCACCCCTTCTAGTCTCAGTGCTGAGTCCTCCTCTGACTGCCTGGTGTTCCCTAGCCCCCTGATCCTGCTTTATTTTTTTTTTAGAAACATTTACTAAATGAAATGCATCTATTACCAAAAAAAAAGAAAGCCATATAGGACTACCCATCGTTTTAGAAACTGCTTTGCATTTATGGCAAATTTTTAAAATCTATTCCATTTATTTTTTTAATTAAAATTTTTCTGTTTAAAGTATAGCTGGCATACAATATTATGGTAGTTTCAGGTATACAATGTTGCTGTATTAATATACCTTATGATAAGGGGTTGGTATCCAAAAGATAAGGAACTCATACAACTCAATAACAAAAAAGTCTGATCAAAAAATGGGCAGAAGACAGGAAGGTGATATATTCCTTTTTTATTTAAAATTTTAGAATATGAAGGCCTCATGGGGAGAAACAGACCTACTGAAATGGCAGATTTAGTCATCAGAATGACATTTATTTAGAATGTGACCCACATTTAAATCCTGAGTAAGAGGAGGTCACTCACTCTCTCAGGCAAAATGCCCAGAATGTGCCAGGAAAAAGGTACCCCCAGGGCACAAGTCACAGGCAGGGGTGTGACCAGATGCCCAAATCATGCCTAGATCTGTGGGAAGTACAAGTCTGTTCCCAGGTAGAATTCTACATGTCTCTCAATGGAGAAGGAAAGGAAGACGCTGAGATGGTTTCTGCCCCTCCCCTTCCCTTGACAGGATGCAGGGCCTGGAAAGGTGTCTGCATCTCTGGATTCCATTGAAAGGATAAGGCTTCTGTGGAATGAGGGCCAGGACAGAGATGCCAGCAGTCAGATGAATGCCTGCGACAGCCTGGCACCAGGCCCCAGCCCTGCGGCGTATACTGTGGGAACTGCCCCTTTGATTCTGACGAGAGGAGACAGTTATCACTGCATGTCCATCAGCGAGAGCAGAGCAGGACACTAGCACTGACAGAATGAGGCACACAGGCTCGTGGCCGCTGCCCCAAGGCCGAGATCAGAGACAGCTGTTCATCCAGATCCATCAGATGGTCTAGGAGCCCAAGTAGAGGCCAGTCTGTAGTCACCCCTTGGAAAGCCCTACTCTTAAGTGTGGGGAAAAAGAGACCACACAACTGTTCACCATCTCTGCAGCCAGGGATCTGCCAGCACTCAGAGGACAGCAGCGGTGAATGTTCAGTGAGGCCCAAAGGAGCCCAGAGCCAATACTCACCTTTCCCAGGTGATAGCGATGTTCTAGGAAGAATAGGGGAGAGGGATTTGCTGCTCCCAGATTACTTCTTGGAAAAATGCCTTAAAGAGTAGAAAAGTGAGAAGTGGCAGTTGTAACCATCAGAGGGAGGGTTAGGGGGCTCCGTCCACTACTGATTGGATCAAAACAAGTAACTTAGACCCTGCTTGTTAACAAGGCACCATAAGGGCCCAATCAGAGCTGCCTCCCCTTCAGTCCACCACCAGCCAGATGCCACATGACATCAGAGGAACCGGAGGCCACAGACCTTTCACTCTGACAGCCTGGATACTTGCAGGAAATATATGGAATTATTTCTTAATTACTATTATAGAAAACATACTCATAAGCTATTTTTTTAATATATTTTTTATTGATTAAGATGTTACATATGTGTCCTTGTCCCCACGTTACCCTCTACCTCCCCCACCCCCCCACCCCGCTCATGCCCTCACCCCCCCGTTGTCCATGTCCATTGATTAGGCCTATATGCTTGCATATAAGTCCTTTGGTTGATCTTTCCCCCTTACCCCCACCCTCCCCTACCTTCCCTCCAAGTCCTGACAGTCCAATCAATGCCTCTCCGTCTCTGGATCAGTCCTTGTTCATCAGTTTATGTTGTTCATTATATTCCACAAATGAGTGAGATCCTGTGGTATTTATCCGCTCTCCAGTTCCATCCATGCTGTGGCAAATGGTAAGAGTTTCTTTTTCTTCTTCCTCTTCTTAAAGAATACCTTTCAGCATTTCATATAATGGTGGTTTGGTGGTGATGAACTCCTTTAGCTTTTTCTTATCCGTGAAGCTCTTTATCTGACCTTCTATTCTGAATGATAGCTTTGCTGGATAAAGTAATCTTGGTTGCAGGTTCTTGCTATTCATCACTTTGAATATTTCTTGCCACTCTCTTCTGGCCTGCATGGTTTCTGTTGAGAAATCAGCTGACAGTCGTATGGGTACTCCCTTGTAGGTAACTGACTGTCTTTCTCTTGCTGCTTTTAAGATTCTCTCTTTATCTTTTGCTCTTGGCATTTTAATTATGATGTGGCTTGGTGTGGTCCTCTTTGGATTCCTTTTGTTTGGGGTTCTCTGCGCTTCCTGGACTTGTAAGTCTATTTCTTTCACCAGGTAGGGGAAGTTTTCTGTCATTATTTCTTCAAAAAGGTTTTCAATATCTTGCCCTCTCTCTCCTTCTGGTACCCCTATAATTCTGATGTTGGTACGCTTGAAGTTGTCCCAGAGGTTCCTTACACTATCTTCATATATTTGGAATCTCTTTTCTTTTTTCTTTTTCGGTTGGGTATTTTTTGTTTCTTTGTATTTCAAATCTTTGACTTGATTCTTGGGATCCTCTTGTCTGCTGTTGGATCTCTGTAAATTATTCTTTATTTCAGTCAGTGTATGCTTAATTTCTAGTTGGTCCTTTTTCATGTCCTCCATGGTCTCACTATACTTATTGAGGGATTCATTAAATTTATCGGCGGTTTCCATAAAATTCTTGAAAAACCTTATAAACGTGGCCTTGAACTCTATATCCAGTCGTTTGCTTTCCTCCATTTCTGCCATTTGTGACCTTTTTCTTTGTCTCCGCATTTTGGCAGCTTCCCTGTGTTGATAGAGTGGCCCTGCGCGCCAGGTGTCCTGTAGGGCCCAGTAGCTCAGCCTCCCCAGTTACCTGGGGTGGACACTCTTGGTGCCTTGGTTGTTGTAGGATCACTGGGAGGAATTGACCTCCAGGCCAATTGGCTGTGAGAATCAGCTGTGTCTAGAGTGGGAGAACTTCTGTGCTGAAGACACCCTTCTGGGGCAAGACTTGCTTCAGTGGGGCTTTGGTGCTCACTGAGTCTGCTCCCTGAGTGTGTCCCTTATGGATCTGAGGAGTTGCAATCTGGATGGTCCCCCTCTGACCACTGGGTACAGTGGCTCCTGGATCTAAGGAGGTGCTAATTCAGCCTCTGCCTGAGGCCACACAGCAGGAGCCACGAAGAGGCTCAGCTGTGAAGCAATGCAAGCCGCTGCGGGGCCTTGGGCCTTCTCTTGGAAGTTCCGGGTCTGCCTGGCTCGCTGCAAAAGCCTCTGCCGCACCCTGGGTGGGGCGGGGTCTCAGGGAGTCAAAGGGCGGATCAAGGAGCTATGGCTGATTCTCCGCCCGGAGTCGCAGGTCTCAGTGACCCGCTAATTGCTGCAAGCACCTCTGAGGGAAAGCCGCCTTCAAGTTCGCCCGCTGCCCGACAGACCAGCTTCTCCCCGTATGAGTCCTGGGTCCCCAGAGACTTCCCGGAACCGGAGTTCAGAGCAGTCGGGAGCTTGTGATTCAAAAAGACAGCCGCGTCCTCAGGTGCCACCCCCTTTCCTCACGCGAGCGCCGCCGTACCTCTGCACTTCACCTCCGCAGCTCCTCTGGCTCTCAGCGTGCTTTTCTTTCCTTCTAGTTGTAGAATTTACACTCAGCCAGCCTTCCTGTTGTTCTGGATGATGTTTGCTCTGTCCTTTGTGGTAATTTTCAATTGTTGTGAGAGGCGGCAATTCCCCGGTGTTTACCTATGCCGCCATCTTAGTTTCTCCCCTCATAAGCTATTTATATATGTACATATTTGTTATGATTTAGCAGATTTTTAAAAACTAGTTTTACCAGATTATAGTTGTAAATTTGTATTATGCCAGGTAAATATGACTTCTTAACCTGCAGCTTTGATATAACTTTCACTTGTACAAATCATATAATTCAGTTTTGAAGGAATTATTTTTTTCAACATAACAAAATTGCCATTCTCCATCCCTCCCTCCAAATACTTCAAAGTAAATATTTTTTCTACATAAAAATTTTGTAATCACCTAATTTGTGTATAATTGATATAGATATTTTTAAAAACGTTAATTTTCATTCAGATAATGGCAAATGCAGCCATTCAATTTATTTTTCACCTTCTGTAACAATGTAGATCAGTTTCCCTAGAATTACAAATAAAAGCTCTGTAATTTAAATCTTCTATACCAAGAAATAATCTTCCCATAGTAAAAGTGAACACAGATTAACTGAATTTCACCTTTTTATATTTTCTACAAATATAGCAAACCGTTTTTACTAAAAGCCAAGTATTGAACCATGTCTAGCAGCTAGTCCTGTTGAATCATTTTCCCTTGCCTGTCTAGACTGTTAATACTCCATAATTAAATAGTGACAGCAGTGACAGCAAATCTCTTACAGATGGTGTCCGGTTAATGGAATTATGTTGTGCATTTTCTGAGTGGAATGTAGTACAGAGTGCTTCGTATCTGTGTCCACGCTCTGTTGCTTACACACTCAAGGACCAGGGGCACGATCCTCTGTCAGCTTTTCTGCTGTCTGAGCCCAGAGCATTGGCCAGTTGCTTTCTTCTGTTATGTGGCTAAGCTTTAGAAAAACCTGGGTAACATAGCCACATTTCAACCAGCTCAAATAGTGCTATGTAGCTCGAGTCATTTAAC